AAAGGAGTTTGTCTCTCCTTCGTATAACTTTTCCATGAACTCTGTTTAACCATGTCCAAAGCCTAACAAAGGCAATTATTCATACTCTCTGCAAAATGTCATAATTTGGGCATTTTTCAAAGATAACTAGCAGAGTGTACCATAGCTATGCACGTCAGAAGAGACAAATTTGATTTTGATTCTGATAGGTCTACTCTTCTGCCCTGTAAAATAAAACATGCCAACAGAATCCATACAATATGTGCTCTAATCTCTACTTTCATATGCTAATTCACTCTGTAATGCTCTTCACCTTGGCAGACCAGCTGGGATATGTTCAAAATAGAAAACATTTATTAACTGGCTCATCAAATGTTGAAGACATGACGTTTATTTTCACAACGCGAAATTCTTGCTGAAATAACCAGTAACACACACTGTGATCATTGTCATCTAGATTTCAGAACCAGCTTTCAAAACAAAATTTACTTGCAAACTATTTTTCATTAAAGGGAAGATTTGATTTGGTGCATGAGATAAAGCACTTTGAAACGCTTGAAGTTAAACTGAAAAAGCAAATGTTTATTGAAGTAAATATGAAACTGAATTATTCCATTGATAATAATCTCTTAATAGTTAGCATGATACAAAGTTTCCATTCTTTTGTTTGCTTCTAGATTTTTAAATTCAGATATTTAATTCTCATCAGTCTTACACGGATAAATATTTGTTGGAATCATAAAACGTGGCTCATCTTCCTGATGTCAAATATACTTTGGCTGATTCTGAGGTCACAGTATACACCTGTATTTACACTGATGAATATGTATGTATGTATACATATACATGTATGGATGTATGTATATATAAATACATATAGATATACATATATCTGATGTATACTGTGAACTGAAGTTCTACCTTTCCATCTATGTGTGCAACTTTCATTGCCTTCTAATAAGGCAATTAATACTTACTCCATATCTATACTTGGAAGTCCCATAGCTGTACTCACTTTGTATGCTACCTATCTATCGCTTTTTCATTTGTTCCTAACCATTAAGTTATACTGTTTCATAACAAACTTCCACACCACTCACCTTCCAAGCACTCCACACCTTTTGTTTAACTCCTTTTGTTTTACCTATTCTGTGGCAGAAGTCATCACCATAAGATAATTATATTATATCCGCACTGATGAACACACTACACTAAATTGCTTGTCTACTTCCTTTTAAGGAGGTATTCTGTACTCATTATCTTTTAATTTAAGAACAAAAGGAGAAAATGGAAGATGAGGTCCTCACAAACCCTTTTTCCCCTCTTCTCTATCTTTTCTGATATCTTGGTCTTCATTCCTCTCTATTTAAGAATGCCTTAGCCATGTCATCCAGGTTCATCTTTTTGGGAAAACTAGTGATTTGCAAAGCGGTTTTTTTCCCCTAGATAGTGATTTTCAATTCAGGATCCATTATCGTTGCTCACTTGTCTCTCCCGCTTTTTGCATGACTCTGTGACACCTTTTTCTATTTATGGCCTTTGATCTCTCTACCGTCTTTGGCAGCAAGGACCAGTTCATCTTCATGACGATCATATATCGTGACAGGGTTTTCTAGCTCTCTTCTTGTCATGCCGAATTCTGTTTCTGCTAGCTTCCAGCATTATCATCTTAGGTTTATGGTGTTTGTGTGTTCATCCTTCTTGTTTTCTCATTCTCCCCTATACTCCTGTTTGAGAAACCACTTGCTTTGTGGTTTTATATTATATTTGCACGTATGTATCTTAGCACCTGAAAGCACCTGTTGGAATGCTATAGTGATAGGTGTCGTGGCGGTATGAACCTTCCCCTATCTCATGATCTTTTATCTCCTGTTGATCAGTCCTCCCCATAGTGTGAAAATATATAAAATCTTTATTTCTAAAACATCTCTTCCTTCAGCTTCTTAATCACTTTAGTTGTTCTGACATGCCTTTCACCAAGAAATGTTGTCTTTGTGTCTACTTACCCTTCTCAATGGACAGAATGAAGAAGAGGAAGCTCTCGTCAGGTGTAATGACTGAATTAGACTTTGGCCTATGTTTACAATTCACTTATTGTACCTAAAAATGTAAGTCATGTCCTAGTTCTCTTCCATTTCTGCTTTTCCATTTTCCAAGTTTTTTTCTGCATAAAACAAACTTCCTTTCTTTAACCTTGACTTTCAACTCAACATTTTATTGACTTCCTTTTCTTCACATCAGTAAAAATGTTAAACATAATTCTCTGCTTTCATGACCTGGATTTAGTTCCTTCTTGCTCTCCATCTTTTCCTCTCCCTCTCTCAAATGCCCAGCGGTTTGTGGACTTCTTTCTTCCTCTAATTTTTCAGAACAGGGGTGACTCTTTCACTAACGATGGTGGAGTCCACTGCCATTACAACCCTATATTCTTTCTGAGTCTCATTCTCCTCCTGTGTGAAGCGTGGAAAGTCCACATGCCAGCACCAAGCCTGGTACCACAGTGCA